TAACTCGATCGAATAATCACTCTTATTCTAACCTACCAAAAGTATTAGGTTAAAAAGGGAGATAAACATAAATGGTATAGAAAACATAAAAAATGTTAAAGAAAGACCCTAACCCTAAATACAAAGTCCACTTAAACTAGTTAGCTATACCTGGTATTGTTGATTCTGCGTGTTTGACATGGAGACATCACTGACTAAATTGGTGCAGAAAAACAAGCTCTGAATCTCAAGATTAACCCAGATTCAATATATATATATGTTATTCGAATTATGATTAAGCATTAGATACAAAATTTTTCAGATTTCTCTAAGTTTCTTCTACATACAAAATGAATTTCCTCTCTTGATTCCGCAAAGATTGATTTTTTTAGAAGTATGATTAATGGAAAGTTGCAGAAATGGAGTGAAAACATGAACTAAAAAGCCATATCTCAAAGAAAAAGGATTAAAAAAAACAACAACCCAAATCAGATCTTTGATGTTTGATGTTTTATATACCATGGTTAAACACTTTAAAAAAACAGCTTAAGTTCATCTCAATCAAAAGGCTTAATTTTAAAGTTAGCACCTTTACTACTGCTAGTGCTACCAGTGAAGCTGAACTTCAATGGATATCGTTCATCTTCTTTATCTTTAGTCTGATTCGCTGCTGCTTTCTCGCCTTCGAGCTCTCTGAACTTACGCAAGTACAGTTTCAACGGCACTTCATAGTCGTCGAAGCCTATCGCAGTCAAAGCCCAGCAAATATCGTCGCCGTTGACGGTCTTTCGCCTCTCTTTTCTGCATTTCTGGGAGGCTTCGCTGGTGACGAAGCCGATGAACTCCGACACGCATTCTTGCATGGTTTCCTTCGCTTCTTTCGAGATTTTGGCCCTCTGGGGAACGGTTTGCTTCATTATTCGACCCACGTTGGCTATGGGGAGTAACTGGTCTTGCTCCTTGATGCCGACATCGTGGTCGTTCAAAGCTCCGATGATGTTTTCGGACATTGGAGAAAGAAAACCTAACTGTTGTTGTTGTTGATGATGATGCTCGAGGTCAACAGGTTAGTTGTATATGTTTGTATGTATGAAAGCATGGATGGATGGAAGGATGCATCATGTATGAATGGATGGGGTTATGTCTTTCACGATATCGATGTGACGTGATGAATCTGATAATCCGGTGGGGATCAATCTACTGGGACCATGTCTACAGGCTCAAAGTCCACAGGTCAAATTGTATAAAGGCCTTGTACTATGCATTATTGCTGTATTTAGTCCCTATAGGTCACGTCAAATTTCCAAATATATAATTTTCAAAAATAAATTGATGTACAAGGTTTAAGATTTTGGTAATTAAAATTTTAAGGTTTAGAGTTCAAAATTTATTATTTACAAATTAGGATTTTAGGTTTTTATTTTAATATTCTAAATTAAAATAGATAAATTATATAAAAATCATGCACGGTAGAAAAAAATAATTATGAATGGATGACTGATATTAAAACTTTGTACATTCACATTATAGACCTATAACTTTAGACGTAAAAATCTTCTCATTTTCAAAATTTTAACCTAAATCATCTATTTACATTTGTCAGATGACCCTAAATGAAAAATTCATTAAGTGATCTCAATAGTAAAAAAGAGTGATGCTCTCCTCTTAGAAGTCCTGAATATATCAAATGACCATTATGCCCTTTTTACTTTGAGGTTTGTAACATCTCAAAATCAAGACTAATGACTAAAATGAAAATTTTAAAACTTTGAGGTTTGATTTTGAAATATTAAAAAGTTTAGAGACTTAATTGAAAAATTTTGGTGTTAGAGTTAATAGCAATTGTGTCTGTTATAAATAAATAATAAAAAATTTCAATATATATATATATATATATAGAGAGAGAGAGAGAGAGAGAGGTAGGAAATGAAACATAATAAAAGAAAATGAATATTCTTGATAAACTTGCTAGCATTAAAGCCATAAATTAAGTGCAAAACCCAAAGTGGATTAAGTTTATAGGATGATTTGTACGTATATGTATACATGCATATAGACAAATGAATATTGTAATATAATATTTTTAGGGTTTAGGATTTGTCTTGTAATCTCTGTTTTGAAAACCGGACCGGCCGATTCAACCGGTTCAACCGGGAACCGTTGCCTAGTCCGGTTTAATCTAAATCGGTTAAACAACTACTAGTGAACCGGCCAAAACCGTTGAACCGGACCGACTGAAAATCGGAAAAAACCAAAAATTTTGTGTTTGTTAAACGAGCCAAGTCAAACTAGAGTATTGCTGAGCTCGACTCGAACTTGAAAACTTTAAAAGTATGCTCAACTTCACTCAAACTCACAAGTTAAAAATTATCAAGTTCAACTAGAATTCGAAATATAATATTGAAACTTGAACTCAAAAAAGCTTGAACTAAAAAAAAATTAGAAGCTCAATTGAAGCCTAAAATTCGAGCTTGATTGAAGTGAAAGAATAGTTCACTCAATGCTCACCAAAAGGCTCCATGATTTTGAATACCAAATTACCTCTATTATTTATAGAAGTTAGTTGTGATGCTCTTCTATGTTTCTTAGCAATGTGAGATTGTTTTGTTCTCATATTTTTACTTTTTAGACTTTTGGGATGCTCTTCTATGTTTTTTAGCCATGTGGGATTATTTTTTAAAAAAAAAATTAAACCAAACAATATCATTTTATTATGATTTTTTTAGCCCCAAATTTATTTTTTAATTATAGTTATATATATATTTATTTAATATGTTTTACCTTAAATATTATGTTGTAGTTAATTTGAATCATTTTGTTTCACTTGATTTTATGGTTTTTAATTTATATATGTTATGATTTGCTTTGAATATGACTTGTGATATAAAAAATTATTTTTTATTAAATATTTTTGATATTTTTATTTAATTTTTAAATAATTATGACGTCGTCCGGTTCTTCCGACCGGTCGGATCGATTCGACCGGTTGAACCAGTGAACCGGTAGCCTGACCGTTGTTAACCGATCTGGTTCGCTAACCGATCCGATTCTGAAAACCATGCTTGTAATGGCCCATAAAACAAATTTACCAACCATTTAAATGTAGTCAAAGGGATTTCTTAAGACTCAAGAAACCTTGACTGGAAACTGGAAAGGGAAGCAGCAATATCCTGAAATAAGCTTCGGAGAAATGCATGTTGGTGGAAATTTTATACACATAATTAATATTTTTGAAATTTTCATATAATTAAACAATAAAAATAAACAATTAAAAAACTATGATGATGAGGAGAATAAATCGAAAGAATGTTGGGGCAGTTACATTTTTAAAAGAATTAAAAATTTAATATAATTATTTTTTATATTAATAATATAATTTTATATTTTTAAAATTTTATAATACCGAACCACTAAATTTTCAGAATTAAAATTTCAATTTGGATGTTGATAATCCAATCCTCTTTTTAACTACTCTAGTTAGTAGGTAGGATAAGTATGACTCGGTTTCAAAGTCGTTAATATTTTATTAGCCAAAGACGTCTTTTTAAAATAAAATCAACACTTTAATTGAAGTGTTTATTATGTTGGATTACGTGGTTTTCCATAAAAACTGTGTGCTTTGGATATTGCTTAATCTATCATCGCGAGAGTTGGATATTGTTCGACTCGTGCTCGTTAATAAATTTTGTTGCTCGAAAGTATGACTCGGTTTCAAAGTCGTTAATATTTTATTAGCCAAAGACGTCTTTTTAAAATAAAATCACACTTTAATTGAAGTGTTTATTATGTTGGATTACGTGGTTTTCCATAAAAACTGTGTGCTTTGGATATTGCTTAATCTATCATCGCGAGAGTTGGATATTGTTCGACTCGTGCTCGTTAATAAATTTTGTTGCTCGACTAGCTATTCATTAAGCTCGTTAAAATTTTGTGCTCTTTAAAAGAATTTGTTGCTCGACTTGTTGCTCGCTAAGGTCGTTAAAATTTTGCTCGACTCATTGCTCGTTAATCTCTTTAAACTTATTGCTCGTCTAGTTACTCGTTAAATTCACCGAATTTTTTTCAAAAGAGTGTATGAAACAAATTCAAAGTCCAAATATCAAAATAATAATCTATAATAATAATTAGGGTTTGATTTTTAAGTGTAGTAAAATAATAATTATTAATTAATAATTTAGTATTTTTAATTATTTATTAGAAAATTAATAGATTAGCAATTTATTATCTTTTATATTATCTATTAGTAAATTAGTAACTGTTTGGATGAAATGATTTTTCAAGATAACTATTAAAAAGTTATAAAAAATTAACGAATTGCTCGCGAACTTATCGAGTTGAGTTGAAATTTGTTCAACCCAGCTCGTTAAAGTCTCGAGTCGAGAGTTGCTCACGAACTCCTCAACTCAGTAAGCACTCTAATTTTAAGTATCCTAAACCCCAATTATATTAAATGTTTGGATATTGCTCATATATTGTATGTATCTAATTATTTTATTGGATTTTTTTAATTAAAATGTATTATTTTTTTTATTAAAAATCCTAAATTCACAAATAGGTGTCTAACCTTTTAAGGGATGCTTATAAAAGGGTCTAACATTTTAAAACAATTGAATAAATATCCAATATTTTTCAATATACTCGTATCAGAACGATTGAACGAGTGCCTAACATTTTAAATATGCTCAAATAAGAGTAAGTTTTTTAAAATAATATTTGATTGCACTTATTCGAATAGATCTAAAAACACTAAACTCTTATTTAAGCATACTTAAAATGTCAGGAACTTATTTAAACATTTTGAAAAGTTAGGTCTCATATTAAAAATGTTGAGACCATAGTGAATAGTTCCTAAAAGAATAGGTCCTTATAGAGTAATTAGCGAAAACAAATGTTGTTGAAATCAAAGGCTACAATGAAACTTTGTGCCATATGAAATAGCCACGTGGCAAACCGGAATCAACCGTCGTTCTGTTGTATAAAGTGAACCAGCGCGTGGTCTCCACACATGATTTACCCTCTTTTTTCTTCTCCAGTCCCCTCCATCTTTCTCTCAGAACAAAGCCGAACGCATAAAAACCCAGAAAGCTCCTTACTAGGGTTTTTTAACGACCGTTCCGTTTGGGGACAATGATATAGGACCCAAATAGTAATCTGGGTCTGTTCTTTTATGCCGGAAAAGCAGAAGGATATAAATAAAAGGGCAGAGAAATGGGTCAGGCATTTCGTCGAGCGACTGGTAGGCTTCGATCGGTGGACCGATCACAGCCCACAAAAACAAGGAGACCTTTGCGTCCCACCGAAGAACAGAATATTTCCAGAGCTTCCCAGCATGAAGATCTCGATCATGGTAATTCATTTCACTGTTCCAATAAAATCAAAGTTTGAGTTCTTAGGTTTTTTTTTGGTGGGTGATTGAATTTGAATTTTTGGGGTTTAAAGGAAGAGTTACGAGAAGCAATCCTGAGAATGTACTGGAAAAAAGAGATCCCAAGTATGACGCAATGCTTAGTCAAATGGTGGGTAGGATTTCAGCTAAACCTGGTGGCAAACTTGAGATGGGTGAGGTCAGTTCATCAGAGTTGTTTTTCTTGTTTTAATTTGGTTTTGTGTTGATGAATAAAAGCGTAGTCCAAAAGGAAATTTATAGCTGTAATGGTGTTCAATAGAATCAAACATTGCCTTAGGATTTTTTCACAAAGGTTTCTACTTGAAGGAAATGGAAAAGTAGGAAACCATACAAGGAATTAAGCCACTGAACAATTTTGGGCATGCTTGAGGTGCAATTACTCAGAAGTTAGATTCATGGACTGACTATTTGGTAGAATAGCCATTTCAGTTCTATTATCCAAAAACATGGAATACACTTTTGAGGATTATTTTGCTCACTCGTTTTATGTATTTCTAGTATTTTCGATTCTTTATCAAAATTTTTGTTAGTGTTTGGAATGAGAATTGCCGGAATGCAAGTTCATGTCAAAAGAGTGGTTGGTTTAGGAACAATCTTAGGCAACATTCACATTGGGAATCGGCCCCTCGCTTGAGGTTGACTGAGATAGGTAAGAACCTTTTTTTTCCTTAAAAAATTTCCTATGCTATCTCCTTTAGCTTTTTTTTTTACGTGTCTTGTATTGTTCAACTCTCTGCCTTTGCATTACTTCTAGTGCCATTTCTATGGTAACAAAATTTGATGGATTTTATAGTCTTTAAACCTCCATTTGACCTGAGATTCGTCTTGTTTTTTCTGAATCGAATAGAGATAAATATAGACTATGATACCCATTTGGATAGAGGGATTAGTGGCTAGTGTAAAGATTTAGCTAAATGATTCCACTCAGTCTTAACCGGTTGGTATCAGTTTAGTCGTCGCCCTTCTTTTTTTATGTTACTGTTTTGGTTTTAGATGCACCCGATATTGTGATTGCATCTGCTAATGTTGTTGGAACTTCCTCCTACTGCAGGCATTTGTGACCGAAAATCCTACCAGACCCTTGCCAAAATTGCAGAATACGACGACAGAGTCAGTAAGGTATGAAGACAAGCCCACACCTCCAGGAACCTTGAATGTAAAACAGCTACAACACATTATGTTTTTGCATCAGGGCAAGGCTGATGATCATGATGGTCCCATGGATGTTAATCGGATTGCAGAGAAGTTCAGACTGGATGTTGCTCAGGTCCAAACGATCCTGCAATTCATATCCCTTCCTCCAGAGGACAACACCAAGTCCAAAAAACACCAATAAAGAACTCTCGACTTTCATTTTCCTCTTATTTAGGAGTTGGATTTTGTCTTGGATAAAGTGCGGTTTATATAAAAACTCAAGTATGTCATTTGACAAAGTAGTTCATATTTGGAATGTTTTGGATGTTCACACTGATAGGTATACTGTATGATGAATTTATGATGTAATTTTTTTCTTTTTCTTATTTTGAAGAAAATAATAGAGAGATGGGTGCTTTACAATGATGCTTGATTCATGTGCTACTTTGCCTCCATATTGCTTTAAAGCTAGCTTCAAGTATCATTTTGGTTCGGATACCTATCTATATAAACATGATCGAACAAGTTTGCATCAATGCAACGTTTAAAGCTTCTCATTATATTATGCATCTATCTGGGAAAAAGAAAGAGCATTTCCGTGAGTTTCTACATCTTTATTTTCACCACCGAGTCCTATACTCTAAAAAATATCAACTTCCTGTAGTTAAATGACAATGGAATGTAACAATATGATGAAACCCTCCCCCATTTTCTTCTGAGGGCCTTCACAGAATACAGGGGGAAAAATGAATTGTCATTGATGAGAAGGAAAAATGAAAACGTGGGTCAGAATCAAGTCAAAATGGACTCTAACCAATCTGATGTAAACTCATAAGCCACAAATGTGACAGCGCCAGCCGGTGCAGCTTTGATCGTCGACGGAATAATCCCCTTGTAAAGACCATGACAACCCTCCGACTTCAGAATCCGGTGTAAGGCATCAAACATGTTCCTATAAGCACGATGTTCTACTCGGGCACCGTACTTCGGGTGCCTCTGTAGTCCTTCAATCTGCAACCGAGCAGTAAGATCAGAGTTACATAACGCACTACCATAACCTAAAATGAAACGAGCAACGATATATGACACCTTGAATGCAGTATCTAAAAGAAAATAGACAGTTAAATGATCCCAATATCTACCTGGAACCTTTTCTTAACTACATCAAGCGGATGACAGACGAGTTTTGCGCAAGTACCAGCTGCTAGCCCACAAATGAACAGTTGAAAACTTGAAAGGCTATTATCTGTGGATGAGCTTGTACTGGATGATCTTAACCGATTCCAAGCCTATGATGATGACATAAAAACCAAAACCATACATCAGAAATGATTATTTCGAAAATAAATGAATTTAACCTTTCAAACTACAACTAAGGACTTATAAAGAGCAAATCAATATTTCAATACATTCAAACGATTTCATCCCACTGAATATAATCTAAAATTTAACCAGTATCACACTATGTAAAAGAACAAAAACCTCACCATGCACCAACGCTTAAACGTATCATAAGTGCCAAATTGCAAGCCAGCATAAGGAATAATCTGAACCAGCGTTGGTGACAACCCAACATACAATCCTCTGAAGCCACGAGTTTTAAGTATATCAAATAGTACTGATTTCATGTTGGGGTATACCTACATGCATTCAAAAGGTGCCAAATAAATGAGCTACATTGAAGAAATTACAGCCTTTGCAGCTAAGAAGTGATGATACAATGGGTGAAGTTTTCACACATCACTTTATGAGTTCAAGGATACAATTATAAAATATTACCAAAAATGGTTAACATGTAATTGTATAGAGATTCAAAAATATATTTCCCACACAATTGAACGAAATGTTGTCAAAGCAGAAAATGACATCACAGCATTAGGCAATTTAATACCTTAGGTTCACCTTGTGAAGCTAATATTGTCCGTAGAAGATCAAAAGGATAAGATCCAACAGTAGCTGCACAGCCTGCTAATGCCCCACTGATGTAAGATAGGTAGGGGCTTATATTAAGATGATCCTCTGATCATCACAAAATCAAAACGTAAGAAACAACATAAAACTATCATCCGAAATAATAAAGCCAACTATTAAAATACCACATAATGGTGGACATCAAGTACAAATAATATGTATGCTTCTATACTAACTAGATCTAGGTCCCAGATTACTGTCAATACATAGTGTAACCCGAAACTTATTATTTTTTATCGGAGCATAAGAAAAGACATTGTTCAATGTAAAGTACCTGTATGGGAAGAACCAGAAGCAAACGTTTTCAATTTGTGTAACACTGCAAACTGTATGGCAGTATATGGCATAACCATAAGTAAAGCCGGCACATTACCACGCCAAAAGCCCTGTCATAAACAGGCATAGTGAATAAAAAAAAAGAACAATCAAATCTACCAAAACTAAGGAAAATCAGCAAACCGAAAAGAAAAGGCAATGTAACAATGCAGCTAACTATAGAAACTAATAAGCAGTATGTATAAACCATTCACAAACATAACCAGTAAAATAAAAAAGAAAATAAACATGCAATTCTACAAGAAAATCGCTGTCATACCGTTAAGCCCTCTTCCCTGAATATCTCCTTTGTTGCTTGAAACATTCCAGTATATTTTGATGGTCCTGAAAGATCTTTCCGAATCAAAGCCCATGAAGATGTAGGCTCCAATTGAACCTACCAGCATAGGGGGGGGAAACATTAATGTTGGAAACAAAGGATTAATATATACTGACAAAAGCCCGGAGCTGAAATGGAAATTCTTGTAAATGAAAGCATTTGGGACAAGATGGAGGTTGAATGTCATACAGTGTGGATTTAACTATGAAAACATGTTTAAGATAATTAAACATGGAAATAGGAGACAGAACAATGTTATGGTAATTGGTAAGAAGACAAGTACGAATAGCGAATTTTGGACAACCAAATGGAACATGGTTATTCAAGAAAAAAATTGGGTTTTTTAACAATTAAATGTTTCTAAGTACCACATAATTATACATTATGATTCATAAAACATTCGCGAATATGGTGAAATAAAGGCTCCGTTTTGCTGCTGTTATCTGATACCCGATGGCATGAATTTCTAGGCTATATATATTTCAAATTGCAACATTGCAAGCTAAACCCAATTGGATTCACCTAACACTCTACCAACCCTGGCAACTTGTTCTCTAAGATTTTGCTTGGTAGCAACGATTGGAAAAACTTGTCAAGCTACGAAGCAAACATACAACATGAATCTGAACCATTGGGTTAACAAGTTATTGATCCCTCACCTCTTTCAATCAATCCCACCAAGCAAAGCCTAAAAACAGTTCAATTCATAGAAAAAAACCCCAGAAAGAATATCATAAACATAACAACATATACAGTAATTCCAATGTTCCTCATATGAAATTAATAACAAAAGCAATAAACACTCGTTTCACCTGGAATCTAATCTTAATAACATCAAGAGGAGAAGTAGCTGTCCGGGAAATGCCGCCAGCAATAGCGCCTGCAGTGGCATCCAGTAATGCCCTTTTAAACTGCCCTGGCTCTTCCATGGTCAGAGCTTTGCTTCTTTTTTTTTGTAAGGAAAAAAAAAAAGAAACCTTTTCTCCTCTCGCTCTCTGGATTTAGGCTACCTCGGAAGAGGGAAAGGATTAGAAAGATAGGGTTAGTGCGAGACTGCAGGTAAAGAAGAAGAAGAAGAAGACGACGACGACGAAACAAAGAGAGAACCGTAAAGGAAGCTGGAAATAGGAAGGGGCAAAGTAAAAGGGTTTTTTTTTTATTAAGTTAAAATCATTATAAAATAATAGGTTAATTACCCACCCAACTTTCAGTTTCATACATAAAATTTAAAAATTCTCTATTAACTGTATAATATTTTCTGTCATTAACGGGTATACCTATTTCTATCATGGAAGATGACGTGGAACCCTCTGACCCATAAAATTCGAACACGTGGTGGAAAAAAAATAATTTTTAAAGTTTTTCCACTAATTTTTTTACACATTTGGCTCCTAATTTCCACGTGGGTTCAATGGTTATAAACCCATATTTGCAAAGGGTTATCTTTAGAAAAATCAAGGATTACAAATCTCATTCTTTCGAATTAACTCAAGGGTTGATTTCCACAATTTCAACTAAACACACGTTCGTTTGGATTTCATTTGGGTTTTATTTGGATTATTTTCGATTTGTTTTGGTTAATTTGACGAATTTGTTTCTAGGGTTCTTCGTTTGGGTAATTTTACGAATTTGTTTGCAAATGCAGTTCTTCATTTGTGTATTTTCACGATTTGTTTTTAGAGTTCCTTTCGATTTTAGATGTTGCTTATTTCATTTTGATTTTTTTCAGCATATTTTTCTTAAAGGATGTCATCATATTCGTCAAACTCAAAGGAAAGAATCTGTCGAGAATTTATCTGCGATTGTGGGAAGAAAGCTGTAATTCGTACATCCATAAAAGAATTAAGCAAAGGCCAGGGATTCTTCGGTTGCCCAAATTGGTTCGAGGTTAGTTCATGTATATGTTAATTCTTTTGAGTTTATGAAATGTGATGCATATTGGTTAGTAATGAAATGCTTCACCATAATTTGTTCTTTTGTTTTAATTGAACTTTATGAAATGTGATGCAGGACAATGGATGTAACTTCTTTCGTTGGGTTGATGAAGATGTTGGAAACAAATATGATAGGGACATTCTTCTCGAAGTTATGAAAGAAAATAACATGTTGTTAAGAGAGAATCGAGAGCTGAAGGTTGCTCAAGTATTGCTGAAATGCAAAAGAGATTGTTGTATAAGTGATGGTTTAAAATTGTTGGAAGTGGAAGAGAAGTTGAGGAAGGCAGAGTGTGAAGTATTTATGTTCAAGCTTGTGATATTGTTGTTTATGTTTTTTGGTGTTCTGTTCTCCATAAGTATTTGATAGATTATAATTGGTTTAAGGTTTAAGGTTTGTTCATAGTGTACTTTTTATGTAGTTATTAATCTTAAGCTTGTTCTAGTTATATAAGGTTGGTGTACTTGAACAATTAAAATGTTAATGAAATGTTACTTTTTATAATCTATTGCATATTTATAGTACCAAAGATGTTAACCTTCATTTAAATGTACAGTTATATAAAGTTGACCAAAATTTTCATTCAAAATTAACAGAATATATAAAGTTACCATATTTCCATTCAATAATTAAAAAAACACATAAAGTTTAACTAAAGTTAAGTTGTACAAAATATGATAAAATGCAGTTCATTTAGTAGTTCCTTGACAGAGTTGAACACAAAATGCAAATGGACAGTCCATATACTTCCATGGTGTTGTTGCATGTGGTGGTGATGCATGTTGTGTTACTGACTGTTGTGTTGGTGCCTCTTGTGTTGGTGTTTGTTGTGTTGGTGTTATCTGTTGAGGTTGTTGTTT